GGAGAGCCAGAAGGGGTTTGAGAAAGGTGATGTCTGACTTTGGGGCAGATCCAGCAGTATCCGACAGCCTTTGGATGAATTTGGGATGTGTCCAGGCTGCCAAGCTGGCTCAGCTCCCGCAGCCTCTCAAAACAGGCAGCCCATGGATGCAGTCCCAGTTTTTTGGGGACTCTACAAAGAGGATGAGAGGCTGGAGGAAGCCAAAAATAACTGTGCTGTTTGTGAGCACAGAAAGGGAATTGTTGGATTTCTGTGCTCCTTTGTGGAGCTGCCGCTCGAGCCGTGGATTGTGGAGTGCTGGGAAAGGCCGAGCACAAAGAGGACTCTGTGCTGCAGCTCCCCTGCACGGGGTCATCCCAAGGAAATCCTTTCCTTGCTTTCTTTAGGGATTGTGGGAGTTCTGCACACAACTCACCTTGAGTTTGGCTTTTTGGATGCCTTTTTAAATTAATCCTTCATCGAAGCATCCGTTTGTCAATTTAAATACTAAATTTACTTACACTAAATTATCTTTTACATTGATATTGAGGGGAAATGGAATTTTGCTTATAGGATGTGCTGCTCCAAAAGGATAATGAGGTCAAAATTCCTACTTATCTACTGCTCCCCTGGCATAAATTTGATATTTTTTGGTGGAAAAAGGGCTTTGTGTTGCACCAAAACACCCTCAGTGCATTGAGCCCAGGAGCTCTCCCAGGTCAAACTTTGGGAAATTCCAATTTTTGTGTCACCACATACCCAGTCCCATGAGCTCTCCTTGCAGGTCAGGAGGCCAGGAGCAGGAATGTTACTGCTACCAGATATTTATGGACAAACAGGAGGATTTGGTGGTTCCCGACGTGCAGCAGTTGGTGGAACGCTCCTTCCTGTCCTCAGATCTGAAGCTGGTGGAGGTGAGTCCAGTTTCCTTCTGCTTTCCTTGCTTCCCAAAATACCTGCGAGGCTTTGGATGTTTTATATCCAACACTGAATCCAGGCATGACTTAGGAAAAGGCCTCTGCTTTCCCTGTTTCCCTTTTGTCCTGTGAATAATGACAACAAATTTAGACAGCAAAAAAATCTCGAGGATTTGGCAGATTCTGGCAGGATGACTCCTTTTCCCTTTTTTTTTTTTTTCCCGCAGATCCCATCTTGCTTCATTATCCAAATGCCACGTTTTGGGAAGGAATATAAAATGTTCAGCAAAATCATCCCCTCCTTGGAGCTGGATATAACAGATCTGCTGCTGGACAGTGAGTGATGATGATGGGCTGTGAGCAACCAGCTCTGGGCTCTCTGGGGTGGGATTCCTCTTCCTTGAGTCCCAGATTTGGCAGGACAAGCTGGATTTTAGGTGGGATCTGGAGGGGACACTCCCTCTGAGCTCTGTTTCCCTGGCAGGTCCCAGGGAATGCTGCCTGTGTGGGGATGTTGCCACTCTGGAATGCTCAGAGTGTTTCAAGGACAAAGTGTTTGCAGCCACGGGCCTGAAGCAGTTCTGCAGCTCCTGCTCCAGACAGGTATTCCATGGCTATTCCCAAAATCCACCTTGGGAGCTGTCAGAGGAATGAACCCTCCAAAATCCCCACATTTTCCTGGCTGTTCCTGCAGCTGCTCAGCCCTTTCCTGAGAGTCATTCCCAGCAGGAGCCACAGGTTGTGAACCCTCTGCTTACACAGAGCCTTAATAATAATGGAATCATAGAAAAATTTGGATTGGAAAGGACCTTGAAGCTCATTCCAATTCCACCCCCTGGACGCTGCTCACTATCCCAGGTTGCTCCAAGCTCTGTCCTACCTGGCCTTGGATGATTCCAGGGATGGGACATCCACAGCTTCCCTGGACAACCTGTTCCAAAAATAAGGTGTAATCCTGCAGGAACTGAGTGCTGATCCCTCCTTGCTGCTTCTCCATGAGCATTCCCACAGTTTCTGCCTCTTGAAGGGTGGCAAGCTCCCATTTCAGCTTCCTGCTGCCAGGCTGTTCCCACAATGCCATTCCCAGGCAAGCAGGGAGCACAGGACTCACATCAACAGGGAATAAATTGGGAATCTGACCTTCCTGACAGGCCAGGGCCAGTTCTGCCAATGCCACCCCGTCCCCTCTCCCCAGGTTCACTCCCATCGCTGCCGCAAAGCGCACAAACCCAGGAGGCTGCACATTCCAGAGGAATTCCAGAGCTGGAGCGCCCGGGGCTGCCAGCAGGTCCCACGGGAGAAGCTGGAGCTGTTTGCAGTGCTCTGCATCGAGACCAGTCACTACGTGTCCTTCGTGAAATACGGCCCTGGCAACGAGCACTGGATGTTCTTCGACAGCATGGCCGACCGGCACGGTGAGGGAATGGCAAAGGGATGTGGGAATGGGATGTGGGAAGCTGCCTGGGCCTGCTCAGTCCACCTATTCCTCTCAAGTTTCCCTATTCAGGCTTTCTCTGGATTTGGCTTTCCTTTAATTAGATTCTACAGGGGCCAAAGGGGTTTTTCCAGGTGGTTCCAGCTTCTGGTTGTGGTCAGACAAGAGATTTGGGATCCTATCCCAGCTTGTGGGCACAGATTGCTTCTCCTGTCCTTCCCTACTGTGCTTTTATCACAGAATCATGGAATGGTTTGGGTTGGAAGGGACCTTAAAACTCATCCAGTTCCAACCCCTGCCATGGGCACCTTCCACTATCCTAGGTTGCTCCAAGCCTCATCCAACCTGGACTTGGACAATTCCAGTGATGGGGAAGCCACAGCTCCTCTGGAAATTCCATTCCAGCCCCTCGTCAACCTCCCAAGGAGAATTCCTTCCCAATATCCCATCTATCCCTGCCCTCTGGCAGTGGGAAGCCATTCCCTCCATATCTTGTCCCAAATGCTTCTCCACCTCTCCTGCAGCCCCTTTAGGTTGGATGGCCTCCCCCCATCCAGCCTCTTCCCGTGCTTTTGGCCTCCACATCTCCCAGCTGAGGCTCTGCATGACTCTTGAGTGTGCTGGGATCTGCTGGAGCTGCAGGGAATCCATCCCTTTGGGATCTGGTTTGGGACTTTTCTCCTCCTTTCCACCTTAGGTGGCGAAAACGGCTTCAACATTCCCACGGTGACGCTGTGCCCAGAAGTTGCCAAATACCTGGACTTGCCCCTGGCTGTGCTGGCCCTGGAGCAGCCTCGGGACATGGATGGGGTGGCCAAACGCCTCTTTTGTGATGCCTACATGTACCTGTACCAGAGCAGGAAAATGGCACTTTACAAGTGACACCATCCCGGGCCCATGGCACGGAGCAATGTCAGGAATGGGAGCTTGGATCATCCCAGAAGGTGGAAGCAGCCAAGTCTGGATGCTCTGAGCTGCCTCTTCTCGCCTCTCTTGGTGTCAAATTATCCAAGTCAGGCTGGGATTGTTAAATCCTGGCTTTATCCAGTGGTGGTTGGTCCTTGGGCACAGCTGGACTTGGAATTATTGATGCTCAAATTCATTCTCATTCCCCACATTCCACAATTCTCCCTCTCTGGGTACTCTGGAGCATCCCCACATCCTTGTTTCCCTGCCATCCCTTTCCTCCAAAGCTGGGGACCAGCAGAAATCAAAAAACAAGGAATTATCCACAGCTTTACCAAGAAACCACAACCTTTCCTAAAACACCCTCACCTGGATTTGTGCAGTGAGGAAAATCAGATCAGGATGGGTTTTCCTCACCTGTGTCCCTCAATTCCCTGCACTTCCCTTATCCAGCACTAACTGGCACTTTTACCCACCCTCATTTCCAGTCATGGATATCCTGAGCTGAAGCTCTGCTTTAAAAATAGATATTTTTCCAAGAACAAAACTGGAAGGAGGATGGGAGCAGAGGAGCAACATCTGGGCTCCTGCTGCTTCCTCTTTTTGGCAAAATCTGCACAGGATTCAGTGTTACACCCTCACTTTTAGCACTTTCTGTCCCATCTTTGCATCCACTTCCAAGCTCTGGGGTCAAATACCAGAATTCCAAGGGCAAAAATAGGAAAAAAAAATAAAAGAAAGGAGCACTCTGGGATTTTCTGCAGGAGAGTTTAGGGTTTGGGTGGGAACTGGTGTCCTTCAGTTAAATAAGTTTGTAAACTTTAGGGTTATCGGCTATTAAGTGGGAAGTTGAGTCAGTGGGATGCCCAAATTCCACAGAAATCTCAAGGAAAGCATTCAGGAGTCCCAGATGTGCAGGTTTAACCCCGTTCCTGCTCTTTCCCCCCTCTCTTTAATGTAGAGTGGAATAATTTTAACAAAGCCTGGAGCTTTGGATCGGTCCTGGTGGCTTGGGCTGTGTGGTCTGGGATCTTTCTGGCATTCCAAGTGTTGCCAGCAGGTCCTGGAGGGATTCTTTTCCTCTGCTCAGCTCTGATAGGTCACACCTGGAACACTGAGTCCAGTTTGGAGCTCCCCAAATCCAAGGAAAAACCACAGAGCTGATGAAGGGACTGGAGTATCTCCTATGAGGAGATGCTGAGGGGGCTGGAATTGCCCAGCCTGGAGAAGAAAAGGCTCAGGAAATCTCCTCAATATCCATAAATAACTGAGGAGAAAGTGCAAAGACACCCAGGAGCTTCTCTGCCCACCAAAACTGTTCCTAAACATCAGGAATTGCATCTTATCCATGAGGGTGACAAATGCTGGCACAGGTCACTCTCCTTGTTCTTCATTCCTCCTCTCCCATAAACTCAGGAAAATCTGTACTCAGGTACAATGGACTCCTCATCTTTGGTGCTTTGCTTAAAAAAAAAAAAAATCTCATTTTTAGCAAACTGATCCTGGATTTCCTGGAGGTTTTTTTTTCCTGTCTTAAAATGGGATGCAATGCTGTTGGAATTCCCAGAAATCCAACACCAGCAGGCCATGCTTTGTTAAGCTCTTAATTGTTTTCTTGCCTGTAATTTCTGCCAAGATCCAAACCATGGAGGGAAGGACAGACAGCAAAGGCACAGGTTTGATCCCTGGGGATTTCCCTCTCATCTTCCCATTCCCAATGGAGCTCCAAAGGGTTTTTCACTGGAATTAGTGTAAGAGCCGTGGTGGGAAAAGGCCTTTATTTTAATTTTTTTGCTTAGTCTGAAGCTCAGTGTGGGTTAGAGCCACGTTTCCTGTGGGAACAGGGGTTAGAGAGTGCAGGTGGCAACCTGGAGCTGGGATCAACCCCTGGAGCTGGGATCAACCTGGAGCCAACCACCACATCCCAGGGAATTTGGCCGGAATGGAAAGAGTTGGAATGTGGCCACAGAGATGAAGCTTGGAATTGCCAAAGCAAAGAGTGTCTGTCATGGGTTGTCCCATGTCACCCTTTTGGTGGCACTCCAGACTTTGTTCTAGTGCCACCAAGGAGCTCCAGGGCTGGCAGGGCCACCAAAGAAGGCACAAGGGTGGCAGAGCCACCAAGATAAGGCACAAGGCTGGCAGGGCCACCAAGCTGGGCACAGGACTGTCACTTCCAGGGGATGCAGGGACAGCTCTGCCTTCCCCATCCCTGTGTTCCCAGCTTCCCTACTGGGACCCCAGGGTGCTCTCCCAAGTTCCTGCAGGTTCCTTGGGTTAGCACCCGGCAGAGGAAAAGTCTAAATTAGAGCCATTAATTCCTAACGAGGCACCTGGGCTTCCCAAAAAAGAGCGGAGCAGGAGCTGGGGATGAGCAGGGACCCGCTCAGAGGCTGCCCTGGCGCAGCTCCAGGAAGAGCTGGTGCAGCCTTTCCGTCACGGCCACCTGGGAATGGGAACAAGAGAGGTCAGGGAGCACTTCCATGGGGACTTTGCTCAGGCCACCAAATCCACCAAATCCAGTGGCATTCCCAGGTGTGTGCTGGTGGGATGTGGGAAGTGCTGGACATACCGGGTAGGGCTGTGGTTCGTGGAGCCGGCGGTGAGCGGGGCTGAGCAGGCTGAGGGACACCTGGGCATGGGTCCTCACCTCAGGCAGGCTGGGCAGGGGTTCACACACCTGCAGGGATGGAGATCCATGTGGGAAGATCCGTGTGGGAAGCCACCACCCAGCACCAATCCCAAGGAGCCACCGGGTTGGCACCAGAGTTGTTGGCACATCTCAGAAGCCACCACTGCCCTTGATCCGTCCTCCAGCGTGGAAGAGGAGACCTCCCAGGAGATGGGACCACCCCTGACCTGGCCATCCCTGAAGTAGGTGCGATGGAGGGGCTCCACGGTGGTGGGAATGACCTTGGTGGTCTCCTCAAGCCGCCCCAGGACACGGATCCCCAGCTCCTGCCCCGCACTGGGTGATGGCTCCTCTTCCAGGGCCATGAGGTCCATGAAGGGGTGACCTGCCAGGAGGACATCAGGGAGAGAATTATGGAGCAGGAGATTCCCCCAGGACTCTGGGAAGGGTCTCCAGACTCACCAGCAGCGTCATAGAGCCGATAGATTGTCTTCATCCCCGGGATTGTCATCTTCTCCTCATCCTCCGTCAGCTTCAGGCACGGGGAGCCATTGACCTCCACCAGCTGTGGGAGAAGGGAAGGGAACCTGTGACTCCTCTGGGGAGGCAACTGATGCAAATCAGCTGAAAAAGGAAAAAAACCCTAAAACCAACCCAAAGTTGGGCATTCTGCCTCCTACCTGTGGAGAACTTGGGGCTTCTGGTGGGCAAAGAATTGGCCATGACCCAACACTGGCACCCAGAACTTCCCCATGTCCTGGGCTGATCCCACAGCATGGGCAGCAGGAGAGGGGGGAATTCTGGCCCTCTGCCCTGCTCAGGGGAGACCCCACCTGCAGAGCTGCTCCAGCCCTGGGGTCCAACATCAGGAGGATGTGGAGATGCTGGAGCAGATCCAGAGCGGGCCACAGAGATGCTCCAAGGGATGGAGCCCCTCTGCTCTGGAGCCAGGCTGGGAGAGCTGGGAATGTCCAGCCTGGAGAAGGCTCCAGAGACCTCAGAGTCCCTTCCAGTGCCTGAAGGGGCTCCAGGAGAGCTGGAGAGGGACTTGGGACAAGGGATGGAGAGACAGGACACAGGGAATGGCTTCCCACTGCCAGAGGGCAGGGCTGGATAGGATACTGAGAAGGAATTCCACTCTGTGAGGGTGGTGAGGGGCTGGAATGGAATTCCCAGAGAAGCTGTGACTGCCCCATCCCTGAAAGTGTCCAAGTCCAGGTTGGATGGGGCTTGGAGAAACCTAGGATAGTGGAAGGTGTCCCTGCCCATGGTGGTGGAGGACCTTCAAAAATCCCTTCCAAGGCAAATTCTTTTGTGACTCTGTGACTCCACTGGGGCTGGATGGCCATGGAGCAGGTGTGGACCACCTGGAAGTGGCTCAGTGAGGACTGGGATATTTGGGATTTAGGCTGCCACCTTTACCTTGTAGACACAGCCCAGCGATGGCTGCAGGGGACACGTCACCAGGTTGGTCCCGATGCCGATCATGTTGATCTCGCTCCCCTGAGGCAGCAGAGAAGACAGAGACCATCAACATCCCAGCCCTGCCAGCACCAGGGACTGCCCAGGTGACATCCCAGCCCTGCCAGCACCACTCAGGTGACATCCCAGCCCTGCCAGCACCAGGGACTGACTGCCCAGGTGATATCCCAGCCCTGCCAGCACCAGGGACAGCCCAGGTGACATCCCAGTACCACCCAGGTGACATCCCAGCCGTGGCAACAGGTTCCTCACCTCCCTCCTGAACTCCTCCAGGCTCTGCTCGCTGATGTCGTTGCTGACAGCGATGGGGATGGTCCCAAACCAGGGCACCTGGAAGCTGCAAGGAGCAGGATTTGGGAGAATCCATGGACCCAGAACCATGAGGGCTCCCAAATCCTGGCAGGATGAGGGGCTGGGTGCAGGTGAGGATGACAAGGATCAGTGACATCCATCCCAGAGCTGGCATAGGACTCACTGAGCTCCGCAGGCTTGGAACACTCCCCGGATTTCCTTGGATTGCTGGGCCAGGTCCCCACTGTCCAGGCGCACTCCGATGGCCTGGTATCCCAGCTGGTGCAGTGCCAAGGCCACGGCACAGAAATTGGGCAAACCACTCCTGGAATGGGCAGGGAAAGCTTTAATGACAAGTGGAAAACAGATCCAGGGTGGATCCAGCATTATTTCCAAGCCCTGCACGAGCCAACATGCCTTCTTTAGGCCACCAACAAGGAGGGACATCCCCTGTGCCTCGGTGGCAAAGTCCTGGTGCCCTCACCTCCTGACACAATAGGTGTCCAGTAATCCCTGGAAGTCACAGGGGAAGGTGACAGCATAGGACACGAAGGCGGCCAGCTCACCCTGGTTGGCCTTGCTGGGAGGAGTCTGGAGCAGGTCACAAACCCGCTGCAGCCAGGACACAGCCAGGCCGGCCAGATCCACGGGATCTCCTCCAGCCCGAGGTGGCAGCTCCTGCCAGGGGAACATGGGATTTGTACAGCCATGGCGTCATCTAAGGTGCCAGAAGTGTGGGAACATGGGATTTGCACAGCCAGTGGCATTATCCAAGGTGCCAGGAGTGTGGGAACAGGTGGAGTGTTCCATTCTCCATCCATCCCACTCAAATCCCTGTCTGCATTCCCATCCCCATCCCACCCCTATCTCATCCCACATCCCATTCCCACCCCTATCCACATCCTCATCCCCATCTTCATCTCTATCCTACTTTACCCCAATTCCCACCACATCCCTATCCCATCTCCATTTCATCTCCTCCCATCCCTAACTCCGTACAAACCCCATCCCCATCCCACTTCCCTCTGCCCGTGCCTATCCCCATCCCAATCACAATCACATCCCACCTTCATCCACATCCCATCCCCAACCCCACTCAATCCCAACCCATTCCCATCTCCATTCCTATCCCCCTCTACATCCCCAACCCCATGAGATCCCTATCCCATCCCTATCCCCTCACCTGCACCACTCCCAACCTTATCCTCATCCCACGCCCATCCAATATTCATCTCCATTCCCATTCCCATTCCATCCCATCCCAGGCCCTGCTCACCCGTGGCTGCACCTCCTCCAGGCACCTGAAGGACATGATGAAGGAGTGGGCGATGGTGCCGCGCACGGGAATTCCGTAGAGTTTTCCCGCCAGGATGTTGCTGGTGCAGTCGAAGCCTGCGAGGAGGGACAGGGGGGACACCCAGGTGATGGCAGGGCCGTGGTGGCACCGGGCACCGTGGGGTGGGACTCACCCCCAATGTAGGAATATTTGGATGCTGAGAGGGCTCCATCCGGCCCCTGCGCGCGGCGGAGCCCCATCTCTATGAGCTTCATGTCCGGGCCGGCGAGGAGACGGAATCTGGCAGCGTTGGTGGCCACCAGGCTGGAGGACAAAGGGGACAGGTCACACAGAGCCAGCAGAGCCAAAGGGAAGGGGCTCCAGGACTCTCCCTGCTTGGATGAGGCAGGGATCACCACGAGATTCGGTGGACAGGGATGTGGTGGGGTTGACCAAGGGGACCTGGGGGACAGGGAGATCCTAAAGGTGACCTGTGGGGGAGCAGGACATCTCTCAGGAGAACCTGAGGGACAGGGAGACCCTTCAGGGGACCACAGGGTGGGCTGGACATGGGAAGCCCTCAGGAAAACTTAGGGGGACACTGGGACATCCTCCAGTAGTTAAATTCAACTGGTGTAATTCCAGCAGTTAAATCCCAATAGGGGACTTGTGGGGTCATGGTACCCTCAGGACTGGGGTGTCCCTCTAGACTGCGGGGTGCTGCACTCCCTTCTCTGCCCTCATCCACCTTCCAGGGGCTTTGGGATCATCCCCATCACAAAATACCTGGCGTAGTTGATCAGGCACAGCAAGGTGGTCTCCAGCAGTTGCACCACCAGGAGCGGCCCCTTCACCTGCAGGAATGGCACCTGTGGGAACAGCAGTGACATCCCAGTCCCCCTGGAGCAGGGAGGAGCTGGGAAAGGCAGGAATGAGAGTTCAGGGGATCCCAGAGTCAAGGAAAAGGGAAGGCCTGGGCCTGGGAGAGGTGGGATGGTCAGGAAAGGGGTTGCAGGGGGATACCGGTGAAGGAAAAGGGGGTGCAAGGGAATTCCAATGCCAGGGAAGGGGGTGCAGGGGGATCCTCTTGCCCAGGAATGAGGGTCCAGATTGTCCCTGTGCCCAGAAAAGGTGTCCCAGGGGTTCCCAGTGTGAAGGAAAAGGGGGTCACAGTGTCACAGACAGATTTTATGAAAAATCCTTTTGCCAGGATCTTTTCTCCTGAGAAGCTGGGAAGCTTTGGCTTCTCCACATTCTGCTGCTTTGGAATGTGATTTGGAGAATTGTTTCCCCAGCATGTGAAATTGTTTTTAGTTGATGTCCAATGGCAGCCACCTGTGTCAAGGCTGTGAGCAGTCACAAGATTTTATTATCATTCCTTTCTTTTCCAGCTTTCTGTTGGATCCTTTCTCTCTATTCATTTTAGTATAGCTTTAGCATAGCATTTTAATATAATATCATAATATAATAAATCAGCCTTCTGAAACATGGAGACAAGATTTTCATCTCTTCCCTCGTCCTGGGACCCTCAAACACAACCACAGTCACAGGGTGGGGACACGAGGATGGCCAGATGGGGGTGCCAGAAGTCCATGGTGCTGAGGAAAGGGGGTGTGGGGGTGCTGTGAGGTGGGAAGGTGGGAATGGGAGTCAGAGGCTCCCAGGGTCAGGGAAAAGGGGGACACTGAGAAAAGCAGCATTGAGTTCCAGGGGATCCCAGGTTCAAGGAAAAGGGATCTGGGAGCTGGGAGAGATGGGATGGTTGATGGAGGAGGGTCCCACCCTGGCGAAGACGACGGAGCCCTCGGGAATGGCGGTGACGGTCACCTCGGAGGCGTCCAGGGTGGCCAGGTAGTCAAAGAAGGCGTCGTCGATGGTGCTGGGCAGGACAGAGCGCAGGTAGGCGACGTCTGCGGGGACAGCGCGGTGACACCAGGGACAAGGGACACAGGGGGAGGTGGGGGGGACACCGAGCCTCCCCTGGACAGGTGAGTGACAGCAGGAGGGTGATAGCACCCCCAGCATGGAGTGTGACAGGGTGGGGTGGCTCAAATCCCCTCTGAGGGACATCTCTGGAGGGTGTCCCAGTGTCTCCCCAAGTTTCCCTGAGGGCTCTTTGTGTCCACTTCTGCCCTGTGTCCCCTGAAGGGTCTCCCTGTCCCCTAAGTTCCTCTGAGAGACGTCCCTGTCCCTTTATGAGTTGTCCTGATCCTCTGCAGTCCCCCAGGGGGGTTCCCCTGTCCCCCAAGTCCCCTCAAATGCTGTCCCTCCCCCACCGCAGGTTCCCAGTCCCGCAGGTCCCTCTGAGAGATGTCTCTGTCCCCATCAAGTCCTCCTGAGGGATTCCCATCCTCCCCAAGTCCCCTTGGGGGGTTCCCCATCCCCAGATCACTCTGAGAAATGTCTCTGCCCGCCTTAAGTCCCCCTGGATGCTGTCCCATCCCTTACAAGTCTCCTTGAGTTGCTCCCCCATCCTCCTCCGGGGGGAATTTCCCTCCTTCCCCCGCGTCCCTCCCACCGCTCCCCGCTATTCCTTCCTCATCCTCTGCCCTTTCCCCTCCTATCCCCTGGAGTAATTCCAAAACCTCCCTGGGAAGGTTCCCTTCTCCCTCTCCCTCCACCGCTCCCCACAACGCTTCTCCCGTCCCTTCCTCATCCTCCCTCCTGTCCCCACTGTCCCCTTGGGTTGTTCCGCCTCCCTCCCCCTTAACTCTCTCCCGTCCCTTCTTCATCCTCTCCTCTGTCTCGCCCTGCCCGCTGGAGTTGCTCCCTATCCCTCAAAATCCCACTGGGACGGTCCCCTCGCCCATCGCTCCTCCCTACAACCCCGTCTCTTTCCCCCCGTGTCCCCGTCTTGTCCCCCGCTGTCACCACGCACCGGCAGCGGAGAAGCGGAAGGCTCGGAGCCCCCGCAGCCCCTCGGCCAGGCCGGCGCCGAGCGCGAAGGAGCCGCGGAAGGGAGGGCGGCGGAAGAAGAGCTCGGCGGCGGCCGGGGCGCGGTGTCGCCCGGCCCGCCAGTGCCCGTAGGCCATGGACACCTGGTACAGGTCCGCCAGCGGCGCCATGGCGGGGCGGGGACAAGGGGACAGGGGTGGGGACACGGGGAGGAGCGGGGAAATAGGAGGGATACGGAAGGGCGGGGTGGGGGCACGCGGGGATGGCGACACGGGACGGGAGGCAGCGGGGATGGCAGGACAAGGGGGACACGGGACAGGGTTGGTGACACGGGGCAGCAGGGATGGCAGCACAAGGGGGAACGGGGATGGCAGCACAAAGGGGACACAGGACAGGGTTAGTGACACGGGGACGCGGAGCAGCAGGGATGGCAGCACGAGGGGACGCGGGACAGGGTTGGTGACACGGGGACGCGGGGAAGCAGGGATGGCAGCGATCAGCCTTCTGAAACATGGAGACAAGATTTTCATCTCTTCCCTCGGCATCCCTACAAGGACACGGAGATGGCAGCACAAAGGGGACACAGGACAGGGTTAGTGACACGGGGACGCGGAGCAGCAGGGATGGCAGCACAAGGGGACGCGGGACAGGGCTGGCGACACGGGGACGCGGAGCAGCGGGGATGGAAGCACAAGGGAGACACGGGGATGGCAGCACAAAGGGGACACGGGACAAGGCTGGCGACACGGGGACGCGGGGCAGCGGGGATGGCAGCACAAGGGGGACATGGGACAGGGTTGGCGACACAGCTGGACACGCAGGGTGGCAGTGCACAGTGGACATGTGGCGCAGGGATGGCAGCACAAGGGGGACACCGGGATAGCAGTAGGGGATACAGGGACAGTGGGACACGGGGGACAACCGGGACAGGGCAGCAGGGATGGCAGCACACGGGGGACACTGGGATGGTGACAGAGGCAGGACACTGGCCACAGGGGATGGCAGCACACGGAGGAAATGGTACAGGGATGGTGGTCCATGGGGGACACAGAAATGGACACAAAAGACACACGTGGCACCGGCTGGACCGGCAGGGACTCAGGATGGCAGCACAGGGGACAAGGGGCACTGCTAGCAGTGCTCTGGGGGTGGCAGGACCCTGCGAGGGACACGTGTCACATATCAAGTGACTGGCCCCACCAGGACAAGGGACAGGCTTGCAGCACAATCCCATGGAGCTTCCCGTGGCCCTTGGACTCTGGCACTGGGACAGACCTCGTGTTCCCAAAGTCAGGAATGTCACCTGTCCCCTCACAGCACAGTCCAATGGAGCTTCCAGCGTCCCTTGGTGGCCCCAGACCTTGGACTCTGGCACTGGGACAGACCTCGTGTTCCCAAAGTCAGGAATGTCACCTGTCCCCATGCCAGGCCACGCTCAGGAATGTCACCTGTGCTCTCCCCAGGCCACACTCAGCTAAAGTGACCTGTGCAGGGAGTCAGTGGGAAAAGAGGGATGAAATCCATCCCAAACCAGCAATTCCTGGATGCTTTCTGGTTATTCATCCTGGTTTTTTGTAGGGAGAGACTGGGGTCTCTAAACCTTGGGAAAGGTGACGAAACACCCTGAGACCTTCAGCCCAACCCCAAAATTCAGGTCCGTGTCTTGAGACCTTTCCTTCCATGAAGGACGGGGAAATCATGGAATGGTTTAGGTTGGAAGAGACCTCAAATATCTCTCATTTCAATCCCCCTCCACTAGCGCAGGTTGCTCCAATATCCCAAAATCTCCCATCAAATCCCCCTGGAGAAGCTGCACCTGAGGGAAAAACCCAAGACCCAACATGCACTCCCAATGTTCATCTTTATTAATTCCAGGTTCGGATGAGGGGGGATACAGTTTTCCCTTCTAAATCTTGTTAAAAGCAGCAATATCCACGCTCTGCACCTGGAAGGGGACAAAAGCTGGAGTCATCCAGGTGTTCCCAGTAAAACACACCTGAGTTAACCCCCTCCCACGGGTTCCAGGCCCTTCCCACATCCCATTCCAACACTTACATAGTCCTCAAACTTGGTGATCTCCTCCTCCAGGATGTCTGTCCCGACTTTCTCGTCCTCCACCACGCACTGGATTTGGAGTTTCTTGATGCCATATCCGACTGGGACCAGTTTGGAGGCTCCCCACACCAACCCATCCATGTGGATGGACCGGACACACTCCTCCATCTTGGCCATGTCAGTCTCGTCATCCCACTGGAAAAGTGGGAATTGGGAGGTTTTAGGGTTTTCCTGGAGATCATCAGCAGCTCCAAGAGGTATCCAAGTGACACCTCTGGGAATGTCACAACTGATCCAAAGTGCCCTTTCTTGGCTGGAAAAGGCTCCAGAAGACCTCAGAGCCCCTTTCCAATGCCTCAAGGAGATCCAAGAAAGCTGGAGAGGGACTTTGGACAAGGATGGAGTGAAGGACAAGGGGCAATAGTTTTAAACTGGAATGGGGTAATATTAGATGGGATATTGGGAATAAATTCCTCCCTGGGAGGGTGGTGAGGCCCTGGAATGGAATTCCCATAGAAGCTTTGACTGTCCCATCCCTGGAACTGTCCAAGGCCAGGTTGGAGCAACCTGGGATAGTGGAAAGTGTCCCTGCCTATGGAATGAGATGGGATTTAAGGTCACATCCATCCAAACCCATTCTAGGCTTCCATGGCAACAAATCCCACCTGACTCCCAGCCCTTGTCTGGAATTCCACAGGTGCCACCACCCCCCACATGGTCGAGAGAGAGGATTCCCAGCCCCACTCCCAGAGCTCCCAAATCCCAAAGGCCACTCACTGGCTTCACATCCAGCAGGATGGAAGACTTGGCAATGAGTCCCGGCTTCTTGGCCTTCTTCTCCGCGTACTGCCGGAGCCGCTCTTCCCGGACTTTGGCAGCTTCCTGGTCTTCCTCCTCATCATCGCTCCCAAAAAGGTCAATGTCATCATCCTCATCATCCTCAGCAGCAGCTGGCTCGGCTTTCTTGGCCGGGAGCTCCACCTTTTTGGAGGGAACGCTGAACGGTTCCACTTTCTTCACCAGATCCAGGGTTTTTTAAGAGGAAAAAGAGGGAAAAAATTAACCTGGAGTTGGAGCAGAGCAGCCAAAAAAAGCTCAGGAATGGGAATCTCCACTGCTCAGGAAACGCTGTGGGATTTATATGGATGTAACAGAACAGGACGTTTGTCCACATGGGTCTTTGGTTATAATTCCTGGAGAAAAATTCCAGCATTTTTCCAAGGCTCACCTGGGTTGGAGGAACAGATGAGGGCTGGTGAGAAGTTGAGGATTTCTCCAGAGCGTTCAGGCGACTTTCCAGCTTGAAAATGGCCATCTGGAGGTCTGCAACAACTGGGAAAAGGAGGGAAAAATAGGAAAAATGACCTTCAATTCCCAGCTGCATGTCAGGTCTCCAGCTAAGATAAGGAATTCTCCACTCACCACTGCGGAGGTTCTGGTTTTCCACTTCCAGGTGGGAAATTCGGGACAGGAGCTCATTTTGGTCACCAGCAGCTCCAGAGGAGGTTGTGCTTGCACTCTGCAAGAAGGAAAACAAGGATGAAGTTGAGTTGTTTCCCCTCCTCCTGAAAAATCCATGAAGCAAAGCAGTCGCATGTCTTCAGGGAGAGAGGAAGTTCAGGAGCTGAACTAAAACCAAGGATATTTTCTCTAAATTAGGATAGAAACTAATGGAGCAGCTCTACAAAATGAAGCATGGACTAAATCCCGAGGAATTTCAGCTGGCACCAAGGACCAAAGGATAAAATCACTTTTCCCACTCTCAGATCCCAAAATGCCACTAAAGCCACATAAAATTTATATAAAATTTCACACAAAGCCCCTTAAAACTCTCGGGAGTCCCTTGGTCTCCTCTCCCAACCCACTGAGGGACAGGAATGACCTGCCTAAGGTAACACTGGGAAAACTGGAAAGATCCCAGGAGTTCTACACTCCTACCTTCCCCAGCCCAGCTTTTAATTCCTAACAATTTCAATCTGCTTTAACACATCCTGAGGGAATAATTATTCCAACTCTAGTTTCAATGGATTTTTGACAGCAAAAAAAAGAGCTTTTTCTTTTTTTTTTAATGCTAAGGAGGGTTCCTTATCCATCAATTCCAGGCAACAAAGGGAAAGAAAATAACAGGATTTGCCCTTGAATTGTCATTTCTAAGTGAAGAGAGAATAATTTATTCTCTTTTATTCCAGTGTGGAATCTCAGCAGTCATGTAAGATGGAAAGACGGAAACGCAGGGGTAAGATGAAGAATACAAGGCACAAGGAAAGGTCTGAATCATGGAATGGTTTAGGTTGGGATTTTAAGGATCATCCAGACAATGTTCCACTATCCCAAGCTGTTCCAAGCCCTGTCCAATCTGGCCTTGGACACTTCAAGGGATGAGGCTGGGAAATCCAAAAGGGGCAGGAAAAAATTCCATCTCAGCTGTGGATTCAGGCTCAGGAAGGTGAGTGCAGATCCCTGGACACGGAGCTGGGATGAGATCCCATTATCCAGGTTTATCCCAGTGCCTAAGGACAAACCCTGAGGAAGGAGAACTTGCTCCATCCTCGTCCCACCAAATCCTCTCCCGTTTTTCCACAGGCTCCATCCATGCATGGCTCACTTACGGCGGAGCGTCCCGACTGTTTCTTGGGACGGGCACAAGGAGCTTCCTTGCTCTGAGCAGGGGTCTTCTGCTGCAGGGTGGGAAAAAGTTTGGGAAGATGGGAAAAGGTTTCGCAATTCCAGAGGGAACTCAAGCGCAGGGAAGAGCCGCATGCAAGGGGAAGTTATGGAGCGGTGGGAAACAGCCTTGCACTGCAAACATTCCCCCAGGAATTCTGGGATCTTCTCCAGGAACATCTTGGTGTCTGCAGGGAGCTCGTGCAATGCTGTGGGCTCATCACACCGTGCCAGCCCTGATGCTCCAAGGATGGAAATCATGGAATTACAGAGGTGGGAAAATCCCTCTGAGCTCATCGGGTCCAACAGTTCCCCCAAGGCCACCACTGAGCGCATCCCTAAGTGCCACATCCATGGGGATGTTAAATCCCTCCAGGAATGGGGACTCCACCTCTGGGCCAGGGCTGGACAGCCCTTTCCACGAGGAATTTTCCTAATATTCCAGCTAAATTTCCCCTCTGGTGGTTTCCTCTCATCCTGTCATTCCCTGGGAGCAGATCCTGATTCCCACTTGGGAATCCTGTCAGGGATTTGTGGAAGTGAGAAGGTCCCCCCTGAACCTCATTTTTTTTCCAGGCTGCGCCCTCCCAGCTCCCACAGCTGCTCCTGGTGCTCCAGAGCCTTCCCAATCCATTCCCTTCCCTGGAAACATTCCAGCCCCTCAATGTCCTTTTTGTCACAAGTGCCCAAAACTGATCCCAGGATTTGAGGTGCCCAGTAGTGCCAGCACAGGGAGAGGAGATTTCTCTTCCCTGTTAATAATAATTCCTCAAAAAAAAAACCAAAAAAAAAAAAAAAAAGAAAGAGGGAAAAGCATGGGAAGAACAAGGGATACCTGTCCCAAGGTGAAGCAATCAAGAGATCTTAATTGGAACCCGTAAGACAATTCAAGAGGCACAACCATGTCCCAAATCCTCAACAATTATGGGAAAATTGCCTTTATGAGACTGTGAGGTCTTCCCTGAGGAGAGGATGCTCCCAGCTTTGGGAATGTGGACACCATACCTCCATTATAGCACACAAAAAACACTTCCTCTTCCAACTTCCAGCTCCACACAAGCATCCCTGAATTTTATCAGGGATAAGAATTCAAAATTCCCAAGGTGGGGAGTTCCACATCATCACTTCCCTCCCTTCCTCTGCACTCTTGTAGAAAACCCTCAAATCCTTTATTTTTAATCCATGATTTTTGTGCTGAACCCACCTCAAAGCTGCAGCCTATCTCAAATATTCTGGACAGCTGAAGTGCTTGGGAAAGCTGGAATTGTGCATAAACTTAATTATCCAAACAAATCAAATCCCTGGGAATTATGAAGGGTACAAAACAGGACGTTGGCAGAACAACTTGGTACATAAACATCTGTTATTCCCTGAAGTTTGAATCCCTAAAATACATTTTAAATATCAGAGACAATAAATTTTTTTCTCATGTTCAGGTGGAATTTCCTGTTCTACTTCCTGCTTTTCCTCCTAAACGAGGAACTGCAGACTCCCATCATATTCCAAGTGCTCATTCCTGCATTTTATGACACAAACCCAGCCTGAAATTCCCAGCAAAAAGGCATTCAACTCCCATTTTCCCAGCTTTTCACACCCAGCTTTTCTCTTGCCACATCCTAAGAGCCCTCACAATAACTCTGGAGAAAGGAAAGACAAAAAATCCTGGGATTTTAGCTCTTCACACTTTTCCCTGGATCACACAGTGTAAATTTGGGGTTTGGGAATGCAAGGAAGAAGTTTAGGAATGCTCTGAAGTCCAGCCTGTTTATCCAACATTAATGATGATCCTTGAGGGATATTCCAACTATTTCTCAGCCATGTGGAAGATCCAACCCCTTTCCCAGGAACATTAAATATTCAGCAATCTTTTACATCCAGCACTAATCCCCAAAAATGTCTCCAAACAATTTATATCGCAAAATTCCTATCCTGGCTTGGGGCTGTTGCTTTACCAATTCCCTGTTACAGCACCTGGATAATCCAAACTTCTGGGATTCTCTCCCAAAAAAGCTCTTTAACAGGAGTCAGGAAAGAAATTCCACATCTTTGGCAAAAGACTCTGGAAGATGAGGATGAGCAGCACTTCCAGGTGATTTGGGTTTAGATTCCCTGCCCCTTGCCCAATTCCAAAAGTTCTTCCCAAAGGAACTTTTTACCTTGTTTGGGATGGGGGCCTCCTTTAGCCTTTTTTTTTTTTACATAAAATGAGCCAGTTCTGGAAAATTTTTCCTTAAGCTGTTGACTGAAATCCTGATTCCTTACATTCATCCCAAATGTCTGGCTCCTTTCTGCTGGTATAAGGAGGAATATGGAATATTCCCCTCAGAAAAGGGGGAATTCCTTGTTATTGCCTGATATTGGGCTGATCAAAGACAGAAACTGAGGATGCTTGGGAATTATGAGGCCAAGTAATGGATGAATTCCTTTGGGAGTCCCACTGCAGAAGCAGGAAATCAAGACACCTGGACTGTATTCCATGGATTTTCCTTTCCCATAAATCCACTCATCAGTATTTTAATTTCCTTTTACAAAAATTAATTTTTTTTTTAACGGTCTTGTCTGCACTCAGCACAAAAACACCTCCACAAAGTACATTCCTGAGCTCCTCCAGGATGCTCCAGCCTCGGAGCTTGTAGCCAAGCTGAATTCCCTGGATGCAGTGGATGGAAAACACAGCTTTTTTGGGTTTTTTTTTTTTTTGCACATCCCCTAAACTGGAAGCAAAACAGGGAAGAGAAGGTGGCAGCCCAGTGTATCCCAAAAAAGAGCCACACGCTCAGCGAGTTAGAACCTGTTAGTTAAGACCCATGGGAACATCCCACCAGGAAAAAAAAAAAAAAAAAAAAAAAAAAAAAAAAAGAAAAAAGGGAAGGAAAAGCCCAATTCAGGGAATTCTTTTAACCCAAATCCAGTTTTGGCAGCGCTGCAGGCGAGCAGCGCGTGGGGACGGGGCGGAGCTGGTGGCACACGGCGCTGCACACCTTGGTCTTCTCCTCTAGCTTCCAACCAAGAAGCCAAACGATCTATGGGATTAGAATTCCATAAAAAGAAAAAATGGGATGCAGGCAGCCAGCTGGTGAGAGCTTGGGTACTCACTCCGGCCAGCGATTTCTGGATATTCTCCCTGGCTCTGGCAATGTCGCGGAGGATCGTGCTGGCTCCGTTCTCCTGCAAACAGCGCAGAAAGAACCAAGAGTTTCTTTTTTAAAAAAAATATTGAAACATGGGGGAAAAAAAAAATTCATCAGGGAAGTTAAAAAAAAACAATGAAAGGAAGGAGGAGCGAGGGAATTGGGAAAATTGGGAATTGTCCTTTCCATGATTCAGTGATTTTTGCGGTAAGGATTGGGGCTAAATTGGGCAGTCCCTGGTCACGTGTCCAGAAGGATCATCCAGTCAAAGAGCTTTTAAATTCCCTATAATTACCCTGAAAAGTTTGGGATGCTGCCAGAAGGTTGGAGTGACTCCAGAACTCCTTAAAAACCCAGCCTCCAGCAGGATTTTTCCATATTATTACCTGAGTTCAGGCAGGAAGTGACAACCCTGATTCTGCTCTATCCAGAGAGGTGGGACCCAGACCACCAGGAATTTTTTCCCTATGCTCCTGCTGCCATGCCTTAGCCTGGATTTCAAGATTCCCTCCCTGGAAATTCCATCATCTGCTCACTCCTTGCCTTTCCCAGACTGCAACCTGCTCCCATCAGCAAGATCCGAGATGTGAAATTTCCCACAAATCCCCAAATCCTGAGTTAAACAGAAGATAAAGGAAAAACAGCCTGGACACATCCAAGTGGGCTCCACTTCCTGCTACTTCCAAGGAAGTTTTAAGACTATTTTTCCATGGGGGAAGTGCCTGATAAATTCCTCCAAACATCTTTCAAACCACCTCTCCTCCCAGGCCAAACTCCTTTACTGGAAGCTCTTGATGTGCCTTGAAATAGTTGAACTGTTCCAAGAGGTTTTCACTCCAAAACCTACTTCCAGCACTCATCCAGAGCTCCCAATTTTTTTCCATTCCCAGTCTCCCAGGTGCTTTGCCAGCACCTAAGCCAGGATGGGCAGCAGGAATAGCTGGAATGTGCCTAAAAGTTAGAATTTCAGCAAAAAGCTTCCCCATAAACACTTGGAAAGAGGCACTGAACACTGAGCATTCCAAAGGCACAAGCAGTTAGGAGCAGGAAGAGGTTAGGAAAGCTCTGAACCTTGGAACAGGAATAATTTTGGGATAATATTGAAGCTGGAAATATTTCAGCTCAGCAGGATCATGCTTCCCCCTCCACCTTCCCCTTTCCAACTCACCGGTATCACAAACAGAATCTTCCACTGGAACACCTGGAATATTTCCAGGAGTGCAAAGAGAGGGATAAAAAAATTCCCCCCAAAAATCTTTGCAGCTGTTGTTCCTCTGTTCAAACTTTAGGTTTGCATTCCCTTGGAATATCCCAAAGGACTGCTCCAAAATGGAAGCAAAGCAGCATTTTCCCTGGATGAAAGGGGACAGGGACGCTCTTTGCTAATAAAATTGGGGATTTTGGGATTTCCAGCTCAAACTCTGCCTCCACAGATCCCAGCAAAATTAAGAATATCTTCTAGATGCTGGGACTGATTCACCTATTAGAAGGACAACTGATCTCCCAGTTCCTTGGGATCAAATCCCTTCAGATTCCACAGAAAACAATGGGAAAAAAAAACCCCAAATGGGTCTTAAACAGCTTAGAGAGCTCCAGGAAGACTTGGGGAAAAAAATAGCACTGAGAGTGGAAATCCCACAAAAATCCAGGTGGGTCATGTCCTTTGACTTACTCTGGAATTCCTGGGATTGGGAATTACCTGCTGGCGGGAGGGGCCACCCATGGGGCCGTTCATCTGCTCGTAGAACCTTCGCTCGGCGTCGTCGTATTTGAACTTCTCGAACCAGATCTTGTCGTGCAGGAAGTAATCCACAGCCATTTTCCTGGGAAAAGGAGGGGGGAAAATATCCACAAAAATTGAATTCCCGCAAGGATTGAAGGTTAACAGCTCGTCAGGAGCGGTTTCTGTGCCTGCAGCCCGGCTTGGCTGCGGATTTAAGTATCCAGGATCCTCTTAAAAAAGCAGGACAGATTAATCACCCACCTGCCTGACCTGGGTGTGGAGTGGGGATGGGATGAATCAGCTGATCCAGACTTTATTCCACAAAAAAAAAAAAAACAAACCAGGATTTCCTAGTTCATGCTAAGGAAAGTGTCTTGTGTAGGAGAATAAAAAGGGAATTGAAATAATGGAATGGTTTGGGTTGGAAAAGACCATAAAAATAATTTAGTTCCAACCCCCTGCCATGGGACACCTTCCACTATCCCAGGTTGCTCCAAGCCTCATCCAAATTTTCCCTGGATCCTTCAAAGGATGGGGAATCCACAAGATTTTCCCTGGATACTTCAAAGGATGGGGAATCCACAAGATCACTGGGAAATCTTTATTAAAAATCAGCAATACTTGGAAGGGACAGGCCTGGCTCTACAGGGAAAAACAGCAAAAAACACCCCAAATCCTGCTGGGAAACAGGGGATTTTTATGGAGCAGCTTCCAAAGGTGGGTTAAATTCTTAATTTGAAGGGAAACAGAGCCCGTAAAAAAAGAGGGAAAGAGGAAGTGCCCTGAATTTCAGCAAGGGACAGGGACAGAGCCAGCAGAAGTTTGAGGAGGTGGAGAGCAGAAAACCAGAACTGGAGCAGGCTCTCCTCATCATCCCAAATCCCACAGTTTCCCAAAAAACACTTCCAGGGTAGCCAGAGATTATTTTCCTGAAATCAAATCCTTCCTTATCTCATCTACCCACTCGGAAGAGACCAAAGGCTGCCAGACACAGGAGCTGCAGCAAAACCACTTTCCACACCCAAATCTCCAAGACCTGCTGGAATTCCAACCAGGATCATCCGCAGAAAATCCCAAATGCAGACAAATTTATCCCACTTTTTTACAGAGACACATGGATGTTCCCAAATATCCAGCTGTGACCAACTAAAGAGGAAATTATCCCAAACAGGACCAGGTGAAAGGTGTCTGACCCCTAAATCCCTTGACACAAAGATCCTAAAAGCTGTCCAACAAATCCCAACAAAATTCATGGATCAGAAGCGTCAGAAATAAGGACGGATGCTCCAAGAGTCTTTTTTTCCAGGAATATCCATCTCTACCTCAGCCTTTGGAGAAGATGCAAGGGCATTCCAAAAATTAACAGACTGGATAAAAATTCCCTCAAAAAAACAAACTACAGCACATGCTCCCACCAAAGTGATTCCCTAAATTGTATTCCAGTCACTTCCAAACCTTCTTCAAGCTGGATCCCGGTTATGATGCTGATTTTTATATGGAATGAGAGGATGGAAAGGAGGATGGTGCTGAATCCATGCAAAAAGGGGGATAATGAGCTCACTTCCCAGCCCTGCCTTTAAACATTCAACCTCTAGCTCCACACAAACACAGCCTTTATCCACCAGAATTCCTCAGGAAAAGGGAATTCCTTGAAGGATTTTCCCCCCTGTCCCCTGCCCACAGGGATCATCTCCAAGTCCACCCAGTCTTCTCCACATGCAAATTCCTTCCGGCTCAATCCCGACCTGGCTGGCTTTTTTTTTTTTTTTTTTTTGCATGGGTGTTACCCCCAAAGAAACTTCTCCTACTTCGTTTCCGGAGCGGGAATGCTCGGAGCAGCTGGATGGGAGGGATTTCCTACAGCAGATTCCTGGATCCCTGTTTTCTCCGCTGCTCTGGCCGCTTCCAGGGCAAAATACCTGGATTCTGCCCTGTCATAGGTCACCTTATTCAGCCACACGGATTCACTGTCCTTGTGCAGGAAAAAGCAGGTGGGATTTTCCTTGGGAATATCAGGGAGCTCAGGGTTGGTGGAGGTGATTCCTGTTTCCTTCCCAGGGTTGTGGTTCTTGGATGCTTCCAGGCAGCCATGTTGGGTTTCATCCAACATCTTCTCATAAAAATTCTTCTCAGCATCATCGTAGAGAGGCTTTTCCAGCCACACCTCGGATGCCAGAACTTCCCAGTTGGAAATCTGCGGCTTCCCATTGACCGTCTGCTGGTCGGAGCTGGGCAAACTGGGAACAGAAGCCACGGGAGAGTTGGGAATGCCAGGAGCCAAGCCTGGCGTGGCAGGAGTGGGCAAGGCCGTGCCATAGCCCTCATCCGGCGTTCCCAGCCTGGAATTCGCCCACACAGATGGGATGGCCAGGACATTGGGAGGAAGGAAAAATTGGGATTTCTCCATGAACGCCCTCTCGGCCTTATCGAAGTCAAACTTGTTGATCCAAACCCCTTGGACAACGTGGTGACAGGCGGCCAGGCTTCCGTGGGAACACGCCGGGAGCATCCTCACCTTGGGAATATCTTGGCTGGATTTCCTGGCCACGGCAGGAGATTCCTGAGCCATTTTTCCAGTCTCAGTTGATTCCCAACTCTGGGAACCCGCTAATTTTATCCTGTAGGCGCTCTCGGCGCGGTCATACAAGGGTTTGTCAAACCACACGTGCTCCGCCGACATTCCCGCCAGGATCGCCTCCAGCTTGGAATCCTGAGCTTTGGGTTTCGGGGAGCGCTTCCTTTTCCGCTGCTTTTTGCCATTCCTGGGTTTTTTCGGGTCCCCCTTGAACTCCCCCTCGATGGAATCCTCGTGGCAGATCCCGTTGACGGCCTCGGGCTCCGGCGCTTCCCGCTCCGGCGCTTCCCGCTCGGCTTCGTCGTTCCGGTGTTTTTCCAGCCAAACTTTGTCCACGGAGCAGGGATTTTTCCGTGTCCTCATCTTCCCAAAAATAAATGGGCAGCATGGAGAGATAATAACAACAAATGTAGTGGCAGCAGAGCAAAGCAAGGGCATGCAGGAGATGTTTTTATCTGTCAATATTCCCGGGAAAAAGCGCAAATATTCCACTTATTTCTCCCTTTTGGGAGAAGTTGGAATTCCAAGGAATTCAACGCCTCCTAAAATATTCCTGCCAAGAATTCCCCTCGTTATTTGAAATTTTAAGGCAGGAAAAAAACCCACAGGATTTTGTTCAAATCCTTGGGAATAACAGGATATTATTCCAAGTTAGTGGATTAGTCATTAATTGTTTGTTACTTATTCCCAATTAGGCAAAATTTTGGGAAAACTGGCTCCAATTTTTGAGTTTTTGGAGGTTTACTCTTGATTGGGTTTTCATACTAAAAGGCAGCTGCTGAAAAACTAGGATTGAATTTTGGGATATAATCCAAGTTATTGGCAAATTAAACTTGTCCAGGAGCTGGAAATCTCATTATTAATTCAATAATTAATTAATTAAAATTGACCTGTGGCAGACTGCCAAATAAAATTCCCAGCCAGATGAAATATCCCCAAAAGTTTATAATTCCAGTAATTCCTGGGAGATTTTGGAAGCCTCAAGTCCAAGGCTTAACTTTAAAATTCAATTTAATTTTCAATTGTCATTTAATTTAAATTTATGGACTTGAATTTAAAATTTAACATAAAATTTACACAAATGTTTTCTTCAGGTCTTCAATATTTCCATTTAAACTTATATAATATTTTGCCTTTAAATATTTAAATTGATGAGAGTTTAAGAATTAGATTCCAATTAGACAAATTATTAAAAATGGCAAAAGGAGATTTTTCTTTTTTTTCCCCTGGAGTTGGGAAACTTTCATACAGCTAAAAAATGCTTAAAAATTGAGATTTCAATTCTGAATTTAAATAAAAAATTAAAAATTAAAACAGATTTTGAATTTATTTTATGGTTTTTTTTGTTTTATTTTGTAGAGCAATAAATTTTTGTTAGGACCTTTACATAGAAATAAATTTATTATAGTAAATAATGAGTACAAACAATAAAAGAATTATAGGATTTTGCATTAAAAATTCCTACCATTTCTTTCTTTTTAAACTAAATTTAAAATCTGCACTTTTTAAAAATTAAATTTTTAAAAATTAAATTGTTTTTAAAAATTTTTAAGTGATTTTTCTCCAGTTCTTAAGCAGCTCCAAGCCCTGGAATTGCAGCCCTCATGGATGAGGTGAATTATGGAATTGGAGTTCCATAATGAGGAACTCCCAGGAGATTCCCTCCCATTGACAGAGCTGAAATTGATTTTAAAAAAACTCTTTAAAATTAATTATTTCCAAGAAAATTCTGCAGGAATTTATCTAATAAATATCCCACTGTTGCTGGATTTTCCAGAATTCCCAAAAAAACCAAACAATTAGAAGGTACTTACTTTTTTTGCTCCTATGACAGCATTAAAAAAAAAAAAAACACAGGATAAATTTAGAGAAGAATTCCAATTTTTATGGATGCAACAGCTCCTCATCCAAATAATTAATGGGTTAATTAATTAACATATTAAGTTTGGAGCTGATGAACTTTCCAGAACTCCATGAAGTTTGTGAACACCACCACAGAAAATGAGTTTATTTTCATTTTAATAACAAGGAAAAGAACATTATTGTGATGTTTTCCAAAAGGATTTTCCCATCCCAGCAGCCTGAGAATTCCCAACCTGCCATCCCAGTCCTGGCATGTGTTGATGGAATTCAGGATCCCAATTTTTGGGTGATTGCAAACATTCCTGTAGCACCTTTTTGCTTCCACGAGCAGCCAAACCTTATGTTCAGTCCTGAAAAACCCCAAATTTCCAAGGAAATAAAGCTTCTAAACAAGGAAGAATTGGGGAAAAAAAACCCAGTAATTTCTCTTCTGTGTCCATCAGTTTTCCTGGAAGAACCTGGGAAAAAGGAATTTTAATCACACAAACCATCAACTTTCAACATTTTCCACTGAAAATTGCCATTTTTACCTCCACAAACACAAAGTTTTAGGATTAAAAACCACGCTTGGCGTTGGGAATATTCTCCACTGGGGAAAAGTCACAGCCCAGAAATTCAGGATGAGTTCAAGAACCATCACAGGGAAATCAAATGGAAACACTAACACTTGTATCTAATATTTTGTTCATTTAAAAGTAGATTTTCTGCTGGTTTCATTCCCTAAAATTGGCTCTTCCCTAAGTCAGACCCTTATCATTACCTTTGCTACGAGACAAAGCTCCATATTCCAGGAAAATACAATTCCCATCCCTGATGGTCACCTAAAAACCACGACTTTCTGCTCCAAGCTGAAAATTCCTAATGAGACAATCATGGATATGGGAAATCAGCAGAAGGGAAAGACTTGGAAAGTGTCACCTTCAGGAGAAATAGGGAAAAAAAAAAAAAAGAGTTGGGAACGAGCAGCTCAGGTGAGGAAAAATCCTACCTGAAGGTCAGGGAGAAATGGGACACATCTGGAAAAGGAAAGAATTACAGCAAAACAGCTCAGAAAAAGGGAATTCCTCATCCCTAAGGATTGTGATTATCGGGATCCCAATCAATCCCAAATCATCGGTGACCTGGATGCGACAGAACAAATCCATCCGGGATTTCTGGGAACGCCGATGCGGCAGCCTCAGCAAGTTTAGTCAGGGATGTAATCCTTCAAAAACCCCATGGAGCACAACAGCAGGCTCTGCCTGTTCCCAAAATAGTTTGGAAATGGATCCCTGAGCATTGAGATTTAAAAAAAAAAAAAAAAGACAGGACAAATCCCACCGAGGTGACGGAAATGTGGGAACAGCAGCACGAGGAAAGAGGGACAGGTGAGATAAGCAGAGCCCAGGTGTACCTGGAGTTGATTTTCCAGGTTTCCCAGCTCCAGGATAAGTTTGGAAAGGCAGCCAAGGGGGGTTGGGATATGGGATGGATCGGCTGCTCCGTGCCAGGACACGGCAGCAGCTCCAGTTTCCCTTTGCAGCAAGTGACTGGACAAAAAAAATCCCAGGAATCGGGGGAGGAGCAGATCCTTGAGGCACCTGGAGCAGCTGGGGAAGTGTGGGATCCGTAAATTCCCTTCTTCACCAGGGCAGGAATAACATTGATCCCTTTCCCCCTCACCCCCAATCCAGACTTGAAAAGGCAAGGCTTTATTACACCAGGAATATTCCCAAAAAAGCAGGGAATATGTCCCCAAAAATCTGTGGAAGTCCACAAAGGTTTAGGGAGACCCCCCCCCCCCTTACCTGTAACAGAGAGCTCCTAAATCCTGGGAAAGGAAAAGGACCACAAGGACATGGAGAATCCTAAAATCCCCCCTTCCCTGTGCCTGGCAAGGGGAAAGGGATCTCCCAGATAATGAGGGGATCTCCCACATCCTCTTTTTTGGGATGTGAGGGGAGGAAATACCCCAGAGGGAATGCAGAGGGGGCTTCCACATGCCCCTTTCCCAAACTTTTAAGGGAAAAAGAACCTAAAACGTGGGGAGTGACACCACGATATTCCCTGGGATTTTAAGTGGGAAAAGTAATCCCAAGGAACAAGGGCACCCCCAAATCCTTTCCTTCAGGACTCTTAGGGACTCCCATGACCCCCTCTGCAGACCTACTAAGGGAAAAGGGACCGAAAACATGAGGAAAGGGGGGGGGGGGGGGTGTCACCCCAGTATTCCATAGGATTCTAGGCATGGAAAAATTATCCCAAAAGCCAAGAGCACCCCAAATCTTTCCCCTCAGGACTCTGGGGGAATGGAATGAACCCTAAAGACAATGGGTGAACCCCCCCCCCCAACTCCCTTTTCTGAGGTTTTTACAGGCCGGGAATGGAATGAACCCTAAAGACAATGGGTGAACCCCCCCAAACTCCCTTTTCTGAGGTTTTTACAGGGCGAGAGACCCCCACACCCAAAGAAGGATCCTCAAAACTCCCCTCTTCCCATCACTGTGAGGGAAGGAACCCCATTTCCTATGAGCAGACCCCCAAATCCCTCTTTCCGCAGGAAAAGTGCCCTCAAGAGAACAAAAGGGGTGACCACAACCTCCTTCTTAGGGATTCTAAGGTGATAAAGGAGCCCTACACACCCTAAAGGGCCCCCGAGCCTCTTCCCCACAATTATCATGAGGCGGCTCCCCCACCTCCCGCCCTAGAGGGATAAAGGACGCCCCGAAGACCCCCGGGACTCCCACTACCGAGGTTCAGGGAGGGGGATAAAAGACCCTAACTGGGAGTATAAAGCTTCCTAGGGGCTGAAAGGGGCTGGAAACCAGGACTCACCGGCAGCTTTGCCCCCTTAAAGCCCCTCCGCTCCCTTTGGCCGCCGCCGGGATAGAGAGGGGCGGCGTGCGCCGCGCGGAGGGTTATGGGGGCGGCGCGTACCACACGTGGCGAGCCAGGGGGTGGCGAAGGGAGTGCGATGCGGGGAGACAGTGTGTCACACGCACAGCGCTGGGTCTGTCCCCCTCACAGTAAAAGAGACATGTGGAACAGCACGGGAGGGTGGGAGCGGGATGCGCCAACCGCCCCTCTGTAACTATTAGGATGCGCCGGCCCCCCTTTTCCTTGCCAAGTTGGATTCGCCCTTGTACCGCCGCTGGCGCCCGTGGGTTGTACCACTCTGCGAAAAGGGGGATATGCCACTTCCCTGCTTCCTCCACGCTACTTCCCTGCCTCCCCAGGATGATCCCCTGTGTTGCACGGGGGGCGTTACAGGGCGGAGGAGGCTCCGCACTCTGCGCGCGGCGAGTTGTCTCATTCCGCGCACTTCTTCTCCCTCCCCTGAAAGCCAAGTGGAACAGCTCAAGGGGGAAAGCGACATGAGGGGAGGGGACAGCGGGGCGTCGCTCTCCCGCCTTTTCGCAAAATGGTACAACCCGTAGGCGCTGGTAGAGATAGGAGGAAGAATCCAACTTGGCGAGGAAAAGGGGGGAGGAAGCGGCGAAACTTAGTGGCCGTGGTGAGGTGCGCGCATGCGGGGGACCGGAGCGGAGACAAAGGTGCCGCCGAGCCCCCCCCACCCCATCCCCGCATCCCTCCCCGGTTATAACGCGCCCCCCATTCCCATGGATGCGGGGGTCGCTCCATGCCCGGGGTGGAGCAGGAGGAGGGCGGGGGAATGGCGGGAGGGCGGCGGGCAGGAGGAGGAGGAGGTGGAGGCAGCAGCGCATCACCCGGGGGGGTGTCGGTGAAGATGTCGCTTCGCCGCGCCTACTCCATCAAGGACAAGCTCCAGGCCATCGAGAGGGTGAAGAAGGGCGAGCGCCAGGCGTCGGTGTGCCGGGCTTTCGGGGTGCCGGGGGGCACGCTGCGGGGGTGGCTGAAGGACGAGGCGAAGCTCCGCTGGTTCCTGGAGCAGCTCGGCGGCGAGGTGGGCACCCAGCGCAAGAAGATGCGCTTGGCCAACGAGGAGGAGATCGACCGCGCCGTCTACGCCTGGTTCCTCGCCCTGCGCCAGCACGGCGTGCCGCTCTCCGGACCCCTGATCCAGGCGCAGGCGGAAGCCTTCGCCCGGCAGATCTACGGGCCTGAGTGCACCTTCAAGGCGAGCCACGGCTGGTTCTGGCGCTGGCAGAAGCGCCACGGCATCTCCAGCCAACGCATCTACGGTGAGGGCGGCCTTCCCGCTGAGCCCGAGCGCGCCCCGGCCGCCCGCGCCGAGGTCCTGCCCGATGCCGGCGGCTACGGGGACGAGCAGATCTACAACGCCAACATCACCCGGCTCTTCTGGAAGCTTCTTCCCGGTGCTGGAATCGCGGCGAGGCGTCCGGCCCGCGGCGAGCGCGTCACGGTGCTGCTGGCCGCCAACTTGACCGGCTCCCACAAACTCAAGCCCTTGGTGGTCGGGGGTCTCCGCGATCCCGCCAGCCTCAGGCATCACAACCAGGAGAAATTCCCGGCTTGTTACCGCTACAGCCCCGAGGCCCGGCTGGCGCCGGCGCTTCTGAGGGCTTGGTTCTTTGAGGACTTCGTGCCGGGGGTCAAGCGGTACCTGCGGCGGAGCTGCCTGCAGCAGAAGGCTGTGCTGCTGCTCAGCTCCGCTCCATCCCGTTCTGCAGCGGGGGCTGAGGATTCCCCGCCGCTCCAGACTCCGGATGGGTCCATCCGCGCGCTGTTCCTCTCCAAGGGTCCCTCTGGGAGTGGTTTGGCCGGAGCAGGAGGCCGAATCCCGGCGCCGCTGGAGCAAGGGGTGGTGTCGGCCTTCAAGCAGCTCTACAAGCGGGAATTGCTGCGCTTGGCCGTGTCCTGCGGCGGCCCCGGCAGTCCCGCGGATTTTGTGCGCTCCTTCCTCCTCAAGGACATGTTGTACCTGGCTGGCCTCTCCTGGGATCTCATCCCGCCAGGATCCATCGAGAAGTGCTGGCTGCTGGGGCTGCGCGCCGCCTTCGAGCCCCAGCCCGGCGAGGAGGAGCACGGCGACACCCCGGGAGGGGATGAAGGTGGAGGGGACAGCAAGGTCTTCAGTGACCTGACCCACCTGGCTGCCTTGGCCTTCAAGCGCTTGGCTCCTGAGGAAGTGTCCGACTGGTTGCACTTGGACGACGCGGCTCCAGGTGCGGAGGAGGACGATGATGGTGAGGAGGACGTCGAGGAGGAAGGCGCCGAGGGCTGCGGGGCGGAGGAGGATGAGGAGGAGGAAGCGGCTGGTGGCAAAAAGGGCGGGGAAGGAGGAGATCCTTTGCTGCCCACGGCTCGGGAAGCCATCCAGGGTCTGGAGACAGCACTGCGCTGGCTGGAGGGACAGGACCCCCGGGAAGTGGGGCCGCTGAAGCTGGTGCAGCTCCGCTCCCTCATCTCCATGGCCCAGCGGCTGCGCCGCGGCCGCAGCCCCCAATCCTAGGGCAGGGGTGACCGCCACTTTTTGGCTACCAACCACCCCTGGTTGGCCACGGAGCTGGGGACACCCCGGTTGTCCCAGGGGGATGGTGGTGGAGGTGCCACTCGCCCCTCTGTGACCGTGATCAGGAAGCCCAGATGCCTGTAGGTCACAATTCAGGGGATTTTTGTGCAACAACTCGAATTCCAGGGTTGTTCCTTACCTAAATATACTTAGGAGGTGCTATTTTTTACATCCCTTGTGGACCCTGGTCACTGGCACTGCCAGAAAGAGGGTGGATGACCCCCCCACAAATTGCCCAGTTCCCCCAGTTCCATGGGGAGAAGGAGTGAGGGAAGAACCTGCTCAGTGTCCATGGGATAATGGGGGATGTTACACTGAAAAATCCCCAGATCCCAGAGCAGGGTTGAGGTGGGCACAGCCAGCTGGACATGGGCCACTCCTGTGGTGCTGCAGGGGAAATATTCCACCTTGGAAGAGGCAGGTGGCGCCCTTCCCACTGCCAAAACAGAATCCTGTTACATCAGGATGGTTTGGGGCTGGTTTAAGACAATTTCCTTCAGGCACTGGGTTGGGAAAGGGACACTTGGGTGGCACCCATGAGAGAGAGTCACCTCCATCATTCCCATCGCAGCTGGGAACACCTGGACCACGGAGACCTGCTGATCCAGGTACCATCATTGGAGCATCCTCGTGGAGCTGAAGGCTCCAGGGATGGGGTTGAGGTGTTCCTCACGGGGTTTGTGGGGTGGCCGGGGCTGGAGGACACATCTGGGTGAGTGGAGGTTGGAGCAGGGAGGGCTCCTGGCACTGCCTTGGAATATTGGAGGCATCTGATAGGAATTTACCTGATTTGGATGAAATTTTAAGGTATTTAACTGAATTACTGGAAGAGGGAAATGAAATTGACTCCTCAGTGCTGCTGTGCCCCATGTCAGTGGATGGGTGGGGGTTTTTACTTGTCAGTTCTTTGTCTCCTTGCTGCAGAGTTTATGGAAATTAAATGGATTTTTATTCCCATGTGGAGGTTGTCGTCTGTGAACTGTCACGTGGATCCATCCCAGAGGGATTTGGGGTGGCACCAGGGGGATCTTCTTGGGGTTGTGTCCTCTCCACTGTGGCTTTCTCCACGCCAATGGGGTGTAATTGTGTAAAATCACATTTCTGTTTATTATCTTTTGCACCAAAATCGCCCCACAAAAAGATTCTGGAGCTTGGGTGTGGCTCATTTCAAACGGGAGTTTGTGAATGAAAGAAAGTTTCAGTTGTGTGACAAAAATGTTGCAAAGATCAGCAGTGGGTGCTGGGCTGGAGGTCTTTGAACTGGTTTGGAGAGGTGAGAATATAAAATTATAGAACGGTTTGGGGTGGAAGGGACCTGCAAGGCCATCAAATTCCAGCCCTCTGCTGTGGTCAGGGACACTTTCCACTGTCCCAGGTGCTCCAAGCCCTTGGACACCTCCAGGGATGGGGCAGCCACAGCTTCTCTGGGAATTCCATTCCAGTTCCTCACCACCCTCTCAGGGAGGAATTCCCTCCCAATATCCCATCTAACCCTGTCCTCTGGCAGTGGAAAACCATTTCCTGTGCCCTGGCACTCCAGGCCCTTATCCAAAGTCAGGGGCTCAGCATCCAGATGTTCCCACCAGTGATGTTTTGCATGGAAAAAACCTTTCCATGCTCAAAGCAGTTCCAAAATCATCTCTAATTGCATCTGTGCAGGTGCTGGGAGGCAAGCAGAGCTTAATTAGGGCATGGAAAAGGCTCAGATCCTCTCCTGATGGGTAAGTTTGAGTTTCTACACCCTCGATATTCCTGGAGATGGGAACAGATCATGGCTTCCATCCCATTCCCTGCTGCCAGGGAAGGATCATGGTGCAGTTTTTTTGGCCGGTTGAGCTCTTGCCCATAGTTCTGGAATGTGGGCAGCCTCCTCATGGATGTGGCTCTGACCACAGGGATGCAGCCATTCTCCCAGCCCCAGCAGGGTTAAATTGGGATCCCCTCATTCCCAAAAGTCTCTCCCCAGTGCCACACATCCCACACCAGCTTCGTCCTTGGTGACCTGGGTGCCAGCACCGGCCTCAATGACCACGGAGCCAGCGTGGCATCCAGAAATCATGGATGTCACCTCCCCACGGAAGTGACCCCGTGGTGGCTTCCACAGCCCCCCAGGACCAGAGGAACCACAAAAATCCACACCCTCCCCATTGCTCTGGCCACGTTTATTTGGTTCCAGCCCTGCTGAGGTAACACGTGTCCACACCACCTCCCACCCTCATCCACGTTCTCCTGAAGATGTCAGGATCCTGCTCCTCAGAGGAGCTCGCTTTGGTCCCCGTCACCCCTCCTGTCCCAGAAGGGGTTTGTCCACTAGTCCTTGGCCATGTCACACGCCCGGTTGGTGGCCGCCTCCACGGCATCCATGACGGTGGCCCGGAGCGCTCCCTTCTCCAGCTGGTGCAGGGCGTAGATCGTGGTGCCCCCGGGCGTGCAGACATCCCCCCGCAGCTTCGCCGGGTGCTCTCCCGTCTCCAGCAGCATCTTGGCTGCACCCTGCGGGACACCAGGACACCAGGAAGGTCAGATTTGGGACTTCCCAAATTCCCCTTTCCATGGTTGGATGGCATCATCATCCCAATACCCCCATTGTGAGGGAATGTCGCCATGATATTTTCTGAATAATCCCTTTGCCAGGATTTTTTCTCCTAAGAAACCTCAGAGGAAAAGAAAAACAATAATTATCTGCAGCTGTGGAATGCAACAGGTGCATCTTTGATTGGTCCATGTTGGCTGTTTCTAATTAATGGCCAATCACAGTCAGCTGGCTTGGACTCTCTGAGAGTCACCAGCTTTTGTTATCATTCCATTCCTTTCTATTCCTTTCCAGCTTTCTGATGGATCCTTTATATTCTTTTTAGTATAGTTTTAGTATAGTATTTTAATATAATATAATAGCATAATATAATAAATCAGCCTTCTGAACATGGAGTCAAGATTCTCATCTCTTCCCTCATCCTGGGACCCTTGAACACAACCATAGAGGGACTGTCCCACCACCATGCCCTTCGCCCTTCTGGTGGCTTCATTTTTGCTTCCAAGAGGGGAAACTGAGGCAGAGCAGCATCCAGCACCTCCTCCCTCATCCCAGTGGATGTTGTGGGGCAGGAAGGAAGGGGGGCAATGCCAAGGACTCACCAGCAACGTCTGTGCCGCGATCCTGCTGGCCAAGGCTCCCGGCATTCCCATCTTCACCGCGCCCTCGGCCAGCGCCTCGGCAAACAGGTACACCTGGGAAAAGGAGATCATCCAGCGGTGAGCCAGGAGCAAGGGGGGGACCCCAAATCCCAGGACAGCATCCCCTGTCCCTCTGGCTTACGTAGGCCACGCCGCTGCCGCTGAGCCCGGTGTGGATGTCGATGTAGGACTCGGGGACCTCCTCGCAGAGGCCGCAGGAGGACAGGAGGCTCTTGAGGAGCGCGGCTTCCTCGTCACCCGCGTTGCTGCCCCGGGAGAAAACCATGGCCCCTGCCTGCACCACGCAGGGCAGGTTGGGCATGATGCGCAGCACTTTGGTCCAGGGCGGGAGGAGCTGGGAAAAGATGGGGATGGGAGAAGGGGTGCCAGCCCTGAGAAGAACCCAAGGGTGAGTGGAGACACTGGTGTGTGTCACCCATCAGGCTGGCGGAGAAGTGAGGAGCACGGGGACGGAGCTGGAGGGGCAGCCGGGTGGGGACAAGGCCACAGCGGTGTGTGCTGTGTGGGCCTGGGTGCACATGGAGGAGAAAGGAGAGGAGGAGGAGGAAAGGAGGAAGAGGAGAATGAGAGATGAAAAAGAAGGAAGAGAGAAAGGAAGAGAAAGAGGATGAGGACAAGGAAAAAGGAGGAGAGGAGGATGAGGAGGTGGATAAGGAGGAAGAGAAGGAGGAGAAGGAGCAGAAGGAGAAGGAGGAAGAGGAAAAAGAAAGGAGAGAGGAGGAGGAGGAGGAGAAGGAGAAGAAAGAGGACCAGGATGAGGACAATGAAAAAGGACGAGAGAAGGAGGATGAGGAGGAAGAGGAGGAGGAGGAAGAGGAGGAGGAGAAGAAGGAGGAGAAGGAAGAGGAGAAGGAGAAAGAGGAAAAAGAAAAGAGAGGAAGAGGAGGAGGAGAAGGAGAACCAGGATGAGGACAAGGAAAAAGGAGGAGAAAAGTAGGAGGTGGATGGGGAGGAAGAGGAGGAGGAGAAGGAGGAGAGTAAGGGAAAACAAAAGCAAAAGGAGAAGGAGAGAAGGAGAAAAGAAGAAGAAGGAAATGGAGAAGGAGGAGAAGAAGGAGGAGCAGGAGAGAAGGTGGAGCAGGAGAAGGAGAAAAGGAGAAGGAGAAAAGGAGAAGCAGGAGAGAAGGAGGAGCAGGAGAGAAGGAGAAAAGAAGGAGAAGGAAAAGGAGAAGGAGGAGTCTCACCCGCTGCAGTGTCTGGATGGTGACGCCGGCCACCAGGGACACGACGATGTGGTGGGACCCCACAGCAGGACGGATCTCCTCCAGGACACCCGGCAGGATGTGGGGTTTGGTGGCCAGGAAGACCAGGGTGCTCCTGTACACCACTTCCAGGTTGCAGTGCGTGGTCCGGCAGCCCAACTCCTGCCCAGGGACAGGGAGAGAGTTCACAGGCTGGAACCCCCAAAAACATCCCAAAACCAGCACCCTCATGGTAACAGCACGTCCAGAGGCAGGGACATGGCCTGGGGACCTGCTCTGGTCACAAAGCCACCGAGGCTCTGCCTGGATCTCACCCAGATCTGGGAAGGATGAGCCAAACCTCAGTGTGGAGAAAGGGTGCTCTGACCCCACAGTTTTGGGACACCCCAAAATCTCCCACCCCCTTGGCTCCACTCACCCGCCAAGCATCCAGGTTTTTGTCCGAGGGAGCGCTGGCCAGGACGTTGCTGGCTGGAACCTTCCCTGGGGGGACACAGGGAATGGGGTTAGTGGCCAGGGTGGCCCCAGGGTTGGGGGGATACCCCAGCACAGCCCAGACACCCCAATTTCCACCGGAATGTGACTACTACAATCCCAGCACGATCCCGAAGAGGGGCATGGGGCAAAGGGGGCTGGGGATGGATGCTGCTGGTGTGGCTGGCACCAGTCGTGTCAGGGTGCAGTGACAATGGAGGTGGCCCTAATGGGCAGGGCTGTCCCCACACCGTGCTATGGGACAGGGACAATCTGGGACACACGGGGAGCAGAGACAGGGCTATGCTCTCACTGTCTGTGGGACAGGGATGTTGGGAGAGAGGCAGGACAGGGCTGTCCTCATGTCCCCACACTGATCTGTGGGATAGGGACACCAGGGAAGAGCAGGGTTCCCGGGGAATAGCAGCAGGAAAGGGCTGTCCCCACGTCCGTCCAGTGCAGGACAGGAACCCAGGGAAGGGCTGGGACCTTGGGAACAGGCCAAGGCAGGACTGTCCCCATGTCCCTCCAATGGAGCACAGGGACCTGGGGAAGGGCTGGGACCTTGGGAACGAGCCACGACAGGATTGTCCCCACGTCCCTGCGCTGGAGGACAGGGACCCGGGGGCGGGCTGGCACTTTAGGAACAGGTCAGGACGCGACTGTTCCCATGTCCCTCCACTGGACAGCAGGGAAGGGAGTGCAGGGAGCGTCCAGAGCAGCGCTGTCCCTATGTCCCCCCACACTTCCCCGCGCCACAGGACGCCGGGAAGGCGCCAGACCAGGACTGTCCCCATGTCCCCTCCCCTGCCCGTGTGTCACGGACCCTCCGGTCGCTCCCCCGTCCCGTACCCGCCTGCAGCAGCCCCCGGACGAGCCCCCCGGCCATGCGCCCGGCGCCCACGAACCCGACCCAGAGCTCGGACGCCTCCATCGCTGCGCGAGGCCACGCCCCCACAACCACACCCCCGGCGCTGATTGGTCTCGAGCAGCCACACCCCTCTTTCCTATTGGTGGACCCACCTTTAAGGGGCGGGGTGAACGGTGTAAAGGGGGGAACTGCGCAGGCGCCGGCGCCACGTGGTC